GCTTGGCCTTCTGAGCCCCCATATTCCATTTGTCCCTTTCTCACCTCCTCTCTTCTCCAGATTCTCTATTTAGTGTCTTTCCTGGGACTTGAGAGTCAAGAGGCCTGATAATGCTGAGGACTGTACTTTTGGAATCGGATCTACCTAACTTCCAGAGTGGGATATGCCACCCTCTAACCTTGAATCAAATATATTTAATAGATCTTTTTAATTTTTTAATGGGAATAGGGTATCTACTTGATAGGTTTACTGATGCAAGGACTAAATAGGCTAATGCATAGGCAGCCTTAGCACAAAACCAGGTTCAGAGAAATTTAGCAAAAAATAGAATAATAATAGGCCGGGCACTGTGACTCATGCAGGTGATACCAGCACTTTGGGAGGCAGAGGCAGGCAGATCATCAGAGGTCAGGAGTTCAAACCAGCCTGGCAAACATGGCAAAACCCTGTCTCTACTAAAAATAAAAAATTAGCTGGTCATGGTGGCATGGGCCTGTAATCCCAGCTACTCAGGAGGCTGAGGCAGGAGAATCGTTGAATCCAGGAGGCAGAAGTTGCAGTGAGCTGAGATCGAGCCACTGCACTCCAGCATGAGCAACAGAGCAAGACTCTGTCTCAAAATAAATAAAGAAATAAGTAAAAATAGAATAGTAATAAATAGTGAGAGGTATCATTAGATCCAGCTGGCCCGGCATATGGTTGGCATATGTCTCTAGTTTCTGCCACTGATGCCAGTCTCCCCTATCGTTAATTTCACGGGTCACTTTAGAGAACACTGGAAGTAGGAGGTTTGTTAACTGGGTCCACTGGCTCCATATTACCATTCTGCCCAGGAGTTTCTCTTTACATGTTTGGGCTGGTTTCTGTTGGTATAAGGAAATAAGTTGATTTCCATCTTAATTTAATTATATTTTTTGAGATAAAGTCTGGCTCTATCACCCAGGATGGAGAATAGTGACACCATCTTGGCTCACTGAAACCTCCGACACCTGGTTCAAGCAATTCTCCTGCCTCAGCCTCCCTAGTAGCTAGGATTACAGGCATGTGGTACCACGCCCATCTAAGTTTTCTATTTTTAATGGAGACAGGGTTTTGCCATGTTGGCCAGGCTGGTATTGAACTCCTGACCTCAAGTGATCTGCCTGTCCTCTGCCTCCCAAAGTGCTGGGATTAATGGTGTGAGCCATTAGTGCCCAGCCAAACAGTTGTTGATAGTGGCATCTTTTTAAATTTTGTAATTTAATTATTTATTTACTTTTTGGAACAGTGTCTTACTCTGTCATCCAGGCTGGGGTACAGTGGTATGATCCATAGCTCACTGCAGCCTCAAACTCCTTGGCTTAAGTGATCTTCCTGACTCAGCCTCCCCAGTAATAAGCACATGCCACAACTCCTAGCTAATGTTTTTTCTAAAAAAATATATATATTTTTTTAAATTTTTGGTAGAGATGGAGTTCATGCTGTGTTGCCCAGGCTGGTTTTCGAACTCCTGGGCTCAAGTGATCCTCCCACCTGGGCCTCCCAAAGTGCCAGGTTTATAGGCATGAGCCACCATGCCTGGCCAATAATGGCATCCTTACCTCAATCCTAGTTTAACAAAGAATACATTTCTCCTTTCTCTTGTATGTACATGTGAAACTATTTATGATAAAAGTAGTTGACTGGGCATGGTGGCTCAGTTCCTGTAATCTCAGCACTTTGGGAGGCAGAGGCAGGGAGGATCACTTGAGCCCAGGTGTTCGAGACTATCCTGGGCAACACAGCAAGAACCCCACCCCTCCACATCTCTATTTTAAAATTTTTTTAATTTGAAAAATTATCAATACAAAAATTAAAAGGTAGTTATCTTGCTAATAAAATGTCTTACTTCCTTTGTTTTAATCTTAAGTTTGTTGTTATTACTGTTTTTAAGTTAGCTAGGGCTGTTTAATTTCATCAAATATGGTTTCAGTATTTATTGAAATTATAAGTCTATTTCGCATTTTTGTTTCCTTGACCTTGTGACAGACATGAAGTATAGAGATTTTCCCAGAGCTCCCCTTGGAAATGAGTAGCTAGCAAACTACTTTATGTTCAAAGTAGTGGCAAAAGGATTGGACCATGCCATAAGGAACATGAGGACATTGAGATATCCATTCAGGGAAAAATTCAAGTTTGATTCTTCCCTTGCAACCGGATAACAATTCTAAGTGGCTTAGACATTAGACCTTGAGAAAACCTTAAAACCATTTGAAGAAAATGTAGAAAAATATCTTTGCAGCCTTGATTCGAGGAATCATAATCAAGTTGTAAACTCTATAAGTCATAAAAGAAAATATTGAGAGATCTGGTTACCTAATATTTAAGACTTCTGAACGATGAAAGACTCCACCAAGAAAGTTAAAGACAATGGAAGGCTGGGAGAAGATATTGCCAACATGTATGACAGACATTACATTAATAATCAGATTATAGAAAGGAAAGGGAGGAAAAACAGAAAAAAGTAATTGAAGAGGCAAATAAAGATTAACTTCACTTATAATAAATAGTTGGTAAATAAAATAACAACAAGGTAACATTTTCCATCATCAAGCTGTCAAATTTTTAAATGATAAATATCCGGTGCTGGAGAACGCAGGTGACTGCTGGGTTTACACTTCAGGTAACTCCAATCCAGAAGTATTTATGTAAATGGCGCCCCCTGCAGCCCAATTCCTACCAAGACCAACATGTACTCCAGTTCACGCTGGAACAGCGCTCAAAGACTCCTGTCCCTCCTGTGGGCTTAGTGACAATTTGAGGAACAGTTTTTGGACCTACCTGGCAAAACGTAAAATGCCCTTTGACACATGATTCCTCTTCCAGCCTTTCAGAAATACATGAACTATGTACATAAAGATATATGCAAAAGTATGTCGATTAAAGCATATTTTATATCAGGAGGAAAAAAGGAAGCAATCTACATGCACATCAACAGGGGGCTGTTTGGACAAATAATGCCGCTTGCATCTCATTCAATGGGATATTTTGTAACTTCTTAAAAGGAATGAAGTGGAATTATCTGTACTCACATAGAATGATCAAGTTTTTTTTGTTTGTTTTTGTTTTTGTTTTATAAGACAAAGTTTTGCTCTGTTGCTCAGACTGGAGTGCAGTGGTGCAATCTTGGCTCTCTGCCACCTCTGCCTCCTGGGTTCAACCGATTCTCCTGCATCAGCCTCCTGAGTAGCTGGGACTACAGGCACCCAACACCACACTCTGCTAGTATTTTGTATTTTCAGCAGAGATGGAGTGTCACCGTATTGGCCAGGCTGGTCTCAAACTCCTGACCTCAGGTGATCCACCCACGTCGGTCTACCAAAGTGCTGGGATTACAGGCGTGAGCCACTGCATCCAGCCAAGATTTAATGTTATGACTGAGATAAACACAAATGAAGGCCAGTCTTCAAAATATCTCTTATTTGATCTCATGTATATACATTTGTGTCTAATTATACATTAGACAGACAGGGAATGCATGGAACTGGAACGGGCACAGCCTACCAAGCTGAGGGGACTGGACCCGAATCGTTGGATAGAGGGAATTCACAACAGAAAAGGCTTTCATGTTGTACTCTGTATACTTAATTACTTTATGCTCTCCCACAACAAGAATGTATCGTATATGGTTTGTTTTTCTTCTTAATCTTAAATTCAGAATATAAGGTAGCCCACTGGCTCTGAGCTACAAGAATCCTTATGGGTTTGGCAGCTCTATGACAACTTTGCACCTGGCTAAACTATCAAGGAACGTCCTACTACCAAGCCTGAGACATTCTTGGCATTCCTGAAATAAATTCTTCTTCTGAGGCCAGCTCATGTGGGCATCATAATCTCCTTGAAAGCTTTTGAAAGATCTAGACCTGAGGCCAGGCCCAGTGGCTCACTGCCTGTAGTTCCAGAACTTTAGGAGGCTGAGGAGGGCAGATCACAACGTCAGGAGTTCGAGACCAGCCTGGCCAACATAGTGAAACTGCGTCTCTACTAAAAACACAAAAATTAGCTGGGTGTGGTGGCAGGTGCCTGTAATCCCAGCTACTCAGGAGGCACTGAGGCAAGTGAATTGCTTGAACCTGGGAGGCAGAGGTTGCAGTGAGCTGAGATTGTGCCACTGCCCTGCAGCCTGGGTGACAGAGCAGGACTTTGTCTCGATGATGATAATAATAATAAATAAATAAATAATAAATAATTTAGATTTGAGTCTGCCTCAGATTCTCGGGCTCAGAACCAGAATTTCTGCATCTGAGGCTATTATGTCGCTCTCAGGGAGGGAAGAACTGGATCACTGGAACACAGAAGGCAGAGGGGCAGCCTTGATCTGCAAGGGCTCCAGTTAACCCCAATGGGAACCCTTGATGGACAAAGGCATTCTCCCAGGCTTGCTGATGAAAGCGTTCTACTTACAGCCAGGCAAGGCACTCAGGGCTCTGCAGCAGAGAAGTCAGAGCTGCAGCTTTTTTGCTTTGTGTTTTCACTAAATCTTAATTTGTTGTACTTTGTTGAATGGGCGTGTCCCATAGGGGAAGTTTCCACTACTGTGTTCCAAACTTTGGACTGCTTGTGGCGTCTTACTTGTTACCTCATTAATAATGAATCAAATAAAACCTTTAGAATATGCTAATTTCATATCTTTACGAGTGTCACAATTTTACCCTTTTTTTTTTAAGTACCAGTACCTTTTCATGTTGCTATCAGTCCCTTACCAGAGCAGCGAGTTTCTGGGTCTCCTTCATAGGGCCAGACACTGTTCCATGTCATTAGAATCAATTTCTTGTTCGTAAATAGGCAAACAAAAGCTTCCACACTCCCAGGAGACAGGGATTCATATCCTGTGCCATGGCTGAGGGTAATGCCGAGGAAGGCACGTCTCTCCGAGCCTCAGTCTGCCCGCCTCTGAAATGGGCTCATAACGAACCCCTGACCCCAGGCTCCGCCGCCTAGAGCCAACGCCCTCACGCAATCCCTCCCCTTTCCTCCCGGGCTCCCAGGAGGCGCGGGGACTCCGGAGGAGGCCCTTTCCTTGGGAGGCGCCCGCCTGGCACAGGTCAGCGCCTCAGCTCCCGGGATCTCTGGGCTCCGCGCTGCCCAAGGGGTGCAGAGGGGCCTCTGGAGGGGGCGGGTTCGCTCCAGCCAGAAAGCCCGGAGCCGCCCAGGAATTTTGGCTCGGACTAAGAGCATTTCCTCCCAGGCCGGCCGGGCGCGATCCGGGGAGGGCGGCTGCGGGCAGACGCGGCGCTGCGCTCGGCCGGGCCGGCAACATGCGGACCCTGCTCTGCGCGCTGGCCGGGCTGGCTCTGCTCCGCGCCGCGGGCGCTTCGGCTGGTGAGTGGGGCGCCGGGCGCGGCAGGGGACCCGCAGATCGCGAGGAAGGAATGGGCAAGAGAGAGACAGAGAGAGCCTGACACTACAGCGGGATGGAGAGAGAGGCGGACGCAGGGAGGGAGCGATGGAGAGAAAGACGGTGAGAGGAAACACGCAGAAAAAGGCAGAGGAAGTAGAGCAACGGAGAGATAAAGAAGAGAGGGAAGAATAAATCGTGAAAAGGAAAAAGCAGAGGCCGAGACACAAAGACGCTTTGTAGATGAACAGAGATGAACTAAGACAGAAAGAAAAAGGAGTTAAAGATACCAAAGGGAAGGAAAGAGAAAGAGTGACTAAAATGGCAAGGGGTGGAGGGAGAGAGGATATTGAAGCGAAGAGAAAGATTTGAGAGAGACCGCAAAGGAGAGAGAGGGAAGCTCAATGAGGGGAGTAGAGCTGGCAAGAGAGGAGCCAGGGATCTGGGGTGGGAGGTCACAGCTGCTGGGCAGGGCAGCCCGGGAGGCCAGCTGCATCTCAGAGGGCCAGGTGGAGGCTCAGGCCTGACTTTATAGGACATTGTCTAAGAAGCCAGACCTCCAAAGGGTGAAGTGACCCAGGCCAGCTCAGCACAGCCTCAAGGAGCCAGGCAGGCGGGCCCAGGAGAAAGGCCACTGCTTCACCTGCCAGGTGGCCTCAGGTGGTTTTGCAGTTGGTGAGGAAGTCAGCCTCTCGGTTTCCAGGGAGCTTCTCTGGGGGACTGAGCTGTTTTGGGTGGAGGCGGGGCACTGGGTGGAGGTGGAGGGCTGTTAGGGAGGCAGAGGCTCTCCGGGTACTCCAGCAGCTGGCTTCCTGGCCTTTGACTCTCCCTTTCCTTTCCCCCAGCTCTCCCCTCAGCTTAATGTTGCCCCTCACAGGTGAGGCTCAGGGTGACTCAGGTCAAGTGACTTACTAGACTGTAGTCTTGACTGTACACAGATGCTCATTCCACCACCCTGCACATTGCACAGGACTTTACAGTTTACAAGCCACAACCCCATTTAGTCAGGGACGGCTATGGCTCATTTTAGTTGTCCAGGTGAGGGGCAAGCTCAGATCTCACAGTGGTGCCAAGGCAGAGCCCTCACAAAACATCCAGGCCTCCTGCCCCCTCAGTCCTTGCCCCCGCCCAGGCAGAAGTGCCCTGTGCTAAGATAGAAGCCCCCACCCGCTTTCAGGGCCCAGTGAGCTGTGGGAGTGAGCACTTGGGGAAAGGATCCAGGCCAGCCCGCGTGATCCCTTACCTTGGCTGAGTCCTCTCCTTTCTCTGGGGCTGTTTCTTCCTCTGTCAATCAGGGAGAATGACACGCCCCCACACACACACAGGCCTGGGCTCAGGGATTAGATGAGAGAGGAAGTGCCCAGCAGGGAACATGCATCAACACACATTCTCTCAGATGACTCCGCTGATTTCTCTGAGCCTCACTTTCCCCACCTGTTAAAGATAACCACCAATGGCTTCCTCACAAGCTGTATGAGAAGCGGCTGGGACTCTGCCCAGCATAGAGTAGGGCCCCGTACACACCCTCTCATCCCCCTCTCCTTCACCCCCTCCCAGCTCAGCCCCAGGCTCCGGGAGCTGAGGGCACAAAGCAGCGCCTGTGCTTCTCCCAGAGGGAGGAGGGACTGTCCCGTCCACAAGTGGCTACTTTGGTGCCCCTTTTAGCCACAACTTGTATAGAGGACTTAAACTCACTTTTAAACGTTGTTTTTCTTTCTGATTATGCATGTTCATTGCTACAGATTAAGAAGAGAAGGATTTCGGGAGGCCGAAGCAGGCAGATCACAAGGTCAGGAGTTTGAGACCATCCTGGCTAACACAGTTAAATCCCGTCTCTACTAAAAATACAAAAAAATTAACCGGGCAAGGTGGCACATGCCTGTAGTCCCAGCTACTCTGGAGGCTGAGGCAGGAGAATCGCTTGAACCCAGAAGGCGGAGGTTACAGTGAGCAGAGATGGCACCCCTGCACTCCAGCCTGGGTGACAGAGCGAGACTCCATCTCAAAAAAAAAAAAAAAAAGAGAGAGAAGAAGAAAAGGAGGAAAGTATTCATGATTAATGTAATTTCACACTGACTTCATACATTTTTGTGCATAATCTTTCAGATTTCAGATATCTCTTAACTTTTGATTATGAAAACTGTTGGATAAAAAAAGTACAAAATAATAGTATAGGAAAGAATCACATAATGTACTCAGCAACGCTGCTTCAACAAGTTTCAGTTCATGGGCAGTTTTATCTCATCTGCAGTCCTCAACCCCTCCCCTCCCTGGATTATGAAATCCAGGCATTGTATTTTCTTTCTTTCTTTCTTTCCTTCTTTTTTGCAACAGGATCTCATTCTGTCACCCATACTAGAATGCAGTGCCGCAATCTCAGTTCACTGCAACCTACACCCCGCCAGGTTCAAGTGATTCTCCTGCCTCAGCCTCCCAAGTAGCTGGGACTACAGGCATCCACCACCACACCTGACTGATTTTTGTATTTTGTAGAGACAGGGTTTCACCATGTTGGCCAGGCTGGTCTCGAACTCCTAGGCTCAAGTGATCCACCTGCCCTGGCTTCCCAAAGTGCTGGCAGGTGTGAGCCACTATGCCTGGCCTGACATCATGTATTTTCTTTTCTTTTTTCTTTCTTTTCTTCTTCTTCTTCTTCTTCTTTTTTTTTTTAAGACAGGGTTTCACCATGTTGTTCAGGCTGATCTTGAACTCCTGACCTTACGATCCACCTTCGTCGGCCTCCCAAAGTGCTGGGATTACAGGTGTGAGCCACTGTGCCCAGCCCATAGATTTTCATCTATAAATGTTTCCTTGTGTATCTCTAAGAGATAAGCACTCTTTTAATAAACATAACTGCAATGCCACGATCACAATCCAAAAAGAGTGTGTGATTGAACATCATTAAATATTCAATCACTGTTCAACTGTCTTTGATTGTGTCATATCTTTTTACAATTCATTTGTTTGATCCAAATAAGGTTACATATACTGCATTTGGGCAATATGTCTGTTAGATCTCTTTAAATATATAAGTTTTCCCACCCCTGCCCCCCTTTTTTTTCTTTAGATGAAGTCTTACTCTGTCTGGAGTGCTGTGGCTCAATCTCAGCTCACTGTAACCTCAGCCTCCCGGGTTCAAGTGATTCTCCTGCCTCAGCCTCTTGAGTAGCTGGGACTACAGGTGCACACACCCCTGATACCCAGCTAACTTTTGTATTTTTAGTAGAGACAGAGTTTTGCCATGTTGACCAGAATGGTCTTGATCTCCCGACCTCGGGATCCACCCACGTCGGCATCCAAAAGTGCTGGGATTACAGGTGTGAGCCACCATGCCCAGCTTTTTTTTTTTTTTTTTTTTTTTTTACTTAATTGTTTTGTTGTTGAAGAAACTAAGTTTGTTCTGTAAAGTTTTCCACATTTAGATTTTGCTAATTGCATCCCTTTGATGTCATTTAAATACTTCCATCTCTTATATTTTCTGTAAATTGAGATCTATCTCTTGCTTGTTCGACTTTCAACTTGGTTTATTTTATTTTTGAGACAGTCTCATTCTGTCACCCAGGCTGCAGTGCAGTGGTGCAATCTCGGCTCACCACAACCTCTGCCTCCCAGGTTCAAGCAATTCTCGTGCCTCAGCCTCCTGAATAGCTGGAATTATAGATGCCGTACCAGCATGCCCAGCTAACTTTTGCTTTTTTTAGTAGAAATGGGGGCGGGTGTGGAGGTGGATTTCACCATGTTGGCCAGGCTGGTATCGAACTCCTGACATCAAGGGATCGGTCAGCCTCTGCCTCCCAAAGTACAGGGATCACAGGTTGTTAGCCACCACGCCCGGCCCCAATCTTGGTTTCTTTCAGCAGCACTCAGAGAAACCTTTATTCCCTGATGGCCTTTTAGACCATCAGCCATTACGCCCGGCCCACATTTTGGAGTTTTTTATAGAATCATCTGAAGAATAGTGTTCTGCTGCTTTCAAAAATAATCAAAACCCATGGATGGTTTTGAATGAATCGTACATCTTTTTACAAGTATTGGATGTGGTAAAGTTTATTATTCTATTACATTGAATGTGTCCAGGGTTGCTTTTCAAAGCAGACCCTTCAAAGAGTGTGACTTTGATAATTCAGAAGATACAGCAACACCTTTCAGAGACGCCACTGAGAAAACATTTCTCATTGCCCAGCATGCAGAAATCATCTGCCTTGTAGCACTTTCTTACTGTTTGGGTTCAGATACAAAAGGTCTCCCCATAAGGCCCGGAAGTAGAGGGAGCAGTACTTCAGCCTCAGAGGATGGCACCCAGGGGCCACGTCTCTTTAACTGGGGCAGCCAGCCCAGCCCAGCCCTCCCCTGGGGCCTCCGGACTCCACAGCAGCCTGTTCTCACCAGCACAGGATGCCCCACCCATGGCCACCATCCAGGGTGCGCTTCAGGCCCTGAGCAGGAGCCAGGCCAGAGAAAACAACGCAGCATCCAAGGAGGTCCATTTCCCAACTGGCAGGGCCCAGGAGGGCGGGAGGAAAGGAAGGAAGGGAGCCCTGTGGGGCCACAGCCTTGGCTGCTCAGGGTTAATGATCAGAATCCTTCAGCCTTTTCCACTCCCCTTGTCTGAGCCGCTGACAGCCCCATGGGTGCACGTGTGTGTCTACTAATTTTTATAAGACAGGGTCTTTGTTGCCCAGGCTAGAGAGCAGTGGTGCAGTCGTAGCTGACTGTAGTCTCAAACTTCTGGGCTCAAGTGATTCTCCTGCTTCAGCTTCCCAAATACCTGGGACTACAAGCATATGCCACCAATCCTGTCTAATTTTTTTTTTTTTCCTTAGAGAGAGAATCCCACTATGTTGCCCAGTACGGTCTCAAACTCCTGGCTTTAAGTGGTCCTCCTGCCTTGGCCTCCCAAAGCTCCGGGATTACAGGTGTGAACCACTGAGCTCAGCTCTCGTAGCCCATTTTTGAGGCCTCTCTGCGGCCTCCAAATGACATCGAAGAATTAAGGATGAGCTACATGGGGAAGTGAGGGCCTCAGGCCCACCCCATCCTATTTTATGGAGGAGGCAGCAGAGGCTCAGGGAGGATAAGAGACTCTCACAATCCCACAATCATCAGTGGCTGAACCAGGCTGAGGACAGGGGTCTCCAGCGTGTTTGCTGACATGATGCGTTCAAGTCAGCTCCGTGGGGAGGATCTGGTGGGGACGGAGCAGGCGGTCCAATGTCAGGCCCTGCTCCAAGCTTGCTCTCTCAGATGTGCTCCGTGGAGGCCCCGATGAGCTCACGGACAGTTGCTCCAGGGGGCACAGAGCACAGTTTTGTCCAGATGTGAAGGATTAGCGCTGAGCCACGTGGGGAGCGACCTCAGCCCAGCCTTTTCCCTGGAGGGGATTTGGAGCCAAGTTAGACCTCATTACAGACTCTAGAGAACAGGGTGTTTTAGGCCAGTGGAGAGGAGCAGGCTCTGGTTGTTCTTGACTTCCAGCGCAGCCTGACTCCCACTTGGCTGGCAGGGTCACACTGTGCCCTTCTGGCCTGAGCCTGGGAGAAGTGTGTGAGGGGAGAGTGGCTGGGGTCTGGGGGAGGGCAGGTGAGGCTCAGGGGAAAGGCCTGGCCAAAGGCCTCTGGACAGAGCTAGCAGACGGTGTGTGTATCCACAGACTCATGACGACAGGCCCTCCCCAGGATGGCCACTCTGTGGGTGAGAACAGCTCTTCCGACCCGCTCAGAGCTTTTCCTCTCCAAGCTGATCAGCCCAGTTTCAGCTGAAACAGAGTTAAAATTTGGAGTCCCAGTCTGGGTGCGATGCCTCACACATATAATTCCAGCACTTTGGGAGGCCAAGGAAGGTAGATCACTTAAGCCCAGAAGTTTGAGCTTAGACTGGACAACGTGGTGAAACCCCATCTCTACAAAAAATACAGTTTAGCCAGGCATGGTAATGTGTGCCTGTAGTCCTAGCTACTCTGGAGGCTGAGGTGGGAGAGTTGCTTGAACCCGGGAAGCAGAGGTTGCAGTGAGCCATGATCATGCCTCTGCACTTCATCCTGGGTGACAGACTGAGACTCTGTTAAAAACAAAACAAAACAAAAAAAACAAGAGTCATAGCCTCCTCTAGACCTGCTCCTGCCTCTTAGGTGCCTTCTCAGGATGTGGGGCCAGGATGGAGCATAGCCCCCAGGTGGGGCCTCTCTCTCTGAATATTTTACATGGATGCCTGCAGCCCACGATGGCTACTGCTTTCTACTGACAACCCCATCAGACAGCTGGCGTTTATTATGGAGCGTTTCAAACCACACCCACAACAGTAGAGAGAAAAGCTGAATGTACCCCTGGGTGCTCATCACCCAGCTCCAACAATTAGCAGCTCTCAGCCCATCTTGTTTGCTCCAAACATCCACGCAGGCCTCCCCCGCATCCCCACCCAGGCCTGGATTATTTGGAAGTAAATCCAAGACAGCATAACATTTCATCTGTAAATATTTCAGTATGGGTCTTTAAAAGACTTGCCTTAAAAAAATAACCAAGACACCATTATCATGTCCTCCTGCCTCCCCACATTCAGGAATAACACCGTTATCTTTTGAAGAGTCTTTTCTAAGTTTAGTGGAGGGAAATAATGAAAAGGAAAATTCGCAAAACAGATTGTTCTCCACAAAAGATGCTCGGATTGGAAGGACGTTTTGTCCCTGGTCTTGTTCTTATCCCTGAGTGGAAGAGCTGAGAGCTAGATAGAGTTGGAATCAGAAAATCACAAGGCAGGGGGCCCCACTTTGATGAGTTGAAGCCAGGAGGTCAGGGTGCCTGAGGTCCAGGCATTTGCTGATGGTGTGAGCTTGGGCAAATCACTTGGCCTCTCAGAGTTACACGTCCATCATCAGCTCTGTCCTATCTCAAGACCTGCCCCGCTTCTAGACAAGTGCAGATGGCCCCTTGGCCAACCCATCCAACACCAAGGTCTTAAGCTACAAGCATGGCACCTAGAGAGCTCAAGTTCCATAACTGTCCCCACACTGAGCTTTGGATGCCCACATCCAGGGCCACAGCCTTGATATTGTCACTATCTGAAGCCGCTCTAGCTGTAAAAGCTAAAATTGCAATATTCTTTACCTCCTGTTCCTCCTGTAATTCCTAAGACCTCCAGTCTCTTCAGCCCCTGACTTCTCCCAGTTTATTGGCCCTCTCCTTGGCCTCATTTCCTTCCTTATCCCGGCTGGATTCCAGGGCTCCTCTCTTAAACCCTGGCTGGTCAAATCTCAGCTCGTTGGCCCCTTGCCTCCACCACATCCACCCTGCAGACTCCATCCAGCCGTGTGGCTTTGCTGTGGAGCACTGCTGCGGGAGGACTCACACTTCCAGGATTCCTTGTTGATGCCGGCTCATTCTGCATGGTCCTCCTACCCTGCCTTTCTCATTCTGCACGTCCCCTTTTGAAGCCCTCTCTTTATTCAAGTCCCTTACCTGGTGGTGCACTGATGGACTGGCTCTCAAAAAGAAAAACAGGGGCGCGGGGTTGGTGATTTCTGGGGTGTAAATGTTCTCATCATGGCCATTTTTTTTTTCTTTTTACTTAAAAGTTTTTTTCTTTTAAGGGATGGGGTCTCAGTGTGTTGATCAGGCTGGTCTCAGACTCTTGGCCTCAAGTGATCCTCCCACTCAGCCTCCCAAAGTGCTAGGATTAAAGGCACAAGCCACCATTTCCAGCCCCCGTGGTCAGTATTTTAACGTCTGTGTTTAGTAACCTACTCATAGAATTCTTGAAATTTTAACAGCTAGCTCTCTTCCCTACGTGTTCTGTGTCTTACTGCACAGAGTAACAGAGCCCATCAGGCAGGAGCTCACTCCACTTTCTGGCCCTCTAGTTAGATGGTTTACCTTTGCCCATTTTTGTGCGTTCCCGGTCTTCTTCCAGATGTGTTCCCACCCTCTCTGGATCCCGGGCCTCCCATCAATTCAGGAAGGGCATTCCTTTGCTTCTTCTGTCTCCCTTTGTCCCTCAGGCTGTAAACATCATTGTGTTTTCCAATGCTTAAAACACACACACACACACACACACACACACACACACACACACACACCCATAAATACTTCTCTAGACCTTGTGATCCAATCTCCTTTCCTTCACAGCCAAGCTTTGTGAAATTGTCCACAATCCAAGTTTCTATCCCCAGCCTCACCTTCCCTTCGCATCTCACCATAATGCAAACTCTGCTTTTCCTCCACCACTCCTAAAAGTGCTGGGGCGACATCTAACAAGGGCCTTTCCTGTGCTCTTTTTCCAGTCCTTATCTCGCTAGACCTCCTCACTGCTTTCGGCCATGCTGACCTTTTTTTCTGCAGCGTCTGTAAAGCTTGGCTGCTCTTGACTTCTGGGGCAGCACTCTCCTTCTTGAGTGTCAGCGTTCCCCAAGCTTCCAGCCGACTCTGATGCCTGACAGGCGTCTCGGGGTTACCAACTCTGAAACCTCAGCTTGGAATCAGGGCTCTTAGACTCCTGCCTGAGGGTTGATGCTGCCTGGAAGAGCTGACTCGAGGAGAACAGTGGAATGGCGGATCCTCTGCTTATGAGTAGTGACTTTGGACACACACTTTCACCCCTCTATGCATCAGTTTTCTTACGTGTAGGTTGGGCGTAACAACAGGTTGTTGGAGAGGTTAACTTAGCACCCTACGTGGTGCATGGTAAGCACTCATCACATGCCAGCCGTTACTAACGGGTCCCAGTGTCAGTGCTGCTGTTGAAATACCTCCTCTCATTTTCATCCTCATATTCCTACAGCTACTGCCTCTGCTCATCACTTCCCCTTCATCCCTCTTACCCTGATGCTGCAGTAACTTCCTGCCTTCAAAGGCATCTCCCTCCAGTCTATTCCCTATATCTTAAAAATTCATGTTTGACTCCGTGACTCTTCTGTGAAAATAAACCCCCTTGGCTCGGCGTGGTGGCTCACGCCTGTAATTCCAGCACTCTGGGAGCCTGAAGCGGGAGGATCACCTGAGGTCAGGAGTTTGAGACCAGCCTGACCAACATGGTGAAACCCCATCTCTACTAAAAATACAAACATTAGCCAGGCATGGTAGCAGGCCCTTGTAATCCCAGCTACTCGGGAGGCTGAGACAGAAGAATCACTCGAACCTGGGAGGCGGAGGTTGCAGTGAGCCCGGATTGCCCCCCAAACATGCATCAGACCCGATTTATTAAAGCCTCTGGGCTAAAGCTCTGCCCCCTTGGTTTGATTTCCAGGCTTTCCCTCTCCAGTCTCTCTCCCGACCACCCTGTATCCCCAGCCACTGCAGGCTCCCTGCAGGGTTTGCACACTGAGCCATGCCCTTTCGGGCCTCTCCGTCATTGCGGTTGCCATTCTCCCTGGCTGGAGCCCGTCCTCCCTTCCTCCCTGGGCTTCACCTCCCTGAGGAAGTCCATGTGGGCCTGCAGGTGACCGGCGGGATTGAGATGGCTGGCACTCACACACTGACCCCCACCAGGGCCTTCCTCTGCTTGCTCTTGCCTTGGCTTTGGGGACCGACCTCACTTGAGCCCAGTGTTTACAGGAGTCTCTGGCATGATGGCAAAGCAAGGGCCCCGCAGTGACAAGACTTGTTTCCCCACAGCTGCAGAACCCTTTATCCCTCCCCGAGGAGACGCAGCTCAGAGCACAGCGTGTGACAGACACATGGCTGTGCAACGCCGTCTGGATGTCATGGAGGAGGTAACAGGGTGGTTTGGAAGGACATGTGGGGTCAGGACCACCTTCTAAGATGGTTTTTTGTTTGTTTGTTTGTTTGTTTTGAGAAGGAGCTTTGCTTTTGTTGTCCATGCTGGAGTTCAATGGCACGATCTCGGCTCACCACAGCCTCCTCCTCCCGGGTTCAAGAGGTTCTCCTGCCTCATCCCCGCAAGTAGCTGGGATTGCAGGCATACGCCACCGCGCACAGCTGATTTTATATTTTTAGTAGAGATGAGGTTTCTCCATGTTGGTCAGGCTGGTCTCAGACTCCCGACTTCAGGTGATCCGCCCACCTCCTCCCCCGAAAGTGCCGGGATTACAGGCGTGAGCCACCAGGCCTGGCCTAGGAGGGTGTTTTTATGGGCAGATGCAAGCTTGCTTTGGAATGTCAGGCCATACAGGCCAGTCTTGCACTGTGGCTGCCTTGTCCAACATCACCCTCCCATCTAGGCTGTCAGGCCGGCCAGCCCCCAGTGGACTCTGCTTCCCCCAAGGCCGTATTTGCCCACACACAGATATTTCTGCATCAATACTGGATGGGAGGTGGAAATTCAGTCACTGTTTTGTTACTTAGCCATGATTCCTAACCTGTGTGGAAAAAAGCTTACATTTGTATTGTTGCAAGACTTTAACTGAAATTGAGCATTCCTGTTCATCATAAATACAGACAGCAAGCAGTGGTATTAACAGTACTATAACTTTGTCATCAACAGAAATCCAGATAATTTCATCTTGTTCTTGTTATGAATACCTCAACACATCATTTATACCCTTCCTATGTCAACATTTCTGTTGTGATTAGGCCTGATGTTAAATTGTGTGATTTAGTGAGTTAATAAATTTTTTTTTTTTGGTAGAGATGAGGTTTTGCTATGTTTCCCAGGCTGTCCTTGAACTCCTGAGCTTAAGCCATCCACCCACCTCAGCTTCCCAAAGTACTGGGATTACAAGCATGAATCACTATGCCGGTCAATACATATGTTATATCCAAAGTTTAAATTTTTATTTTACAGAGTCCTGCTCTGTTACCCAGGTGGAATTCATGGTTCAGTCTCAGCTCACTGCAACCTCTGCCTCCAGGGTTCCAGCGATTCTCATGCCTCAACCTCCCGAGTAGCTGGGACTACAGACATGCACCACCATGCCCGGCTAATTTTTTGTATTTTTGGTAGACATGGGATTTCTCCATGTTGGCCCGACTGGTCTCAAACTCCTGACCTCAAGTGATCTGCCCGCCTCGGCCTCCCAAAATTCTGAGATTGCACGTGTGAGCCACTGTGCTGGGCCAAAAAGTTTAATTTTTAATAATGAATAATTCAGTGCAATTGATGCCCTTGGTGATTCTATACGCTTTATTTTTGTCATTTAAGGCATTATTCTGAGAAGAAGTCTGTAGGCTTCACCACACTGCCAGTGGGGTCCATGGCATACACAGGGGAAAAAATAACTATTGAGAACCCTGAGTAAATTTCAAAATCCCAAATCTGTCATTCGGCAGAGCCACCACCAGGGGGCGGAGCAACAAAAGAAATGTGAGCGCCAGGCTGCAGAGTCCCAAAAGGGAGAAGGTATTCTAAAGGCGTTTCATCCAACCCCGTGACTGAGTGCCAAAAAGGAAGGAGCCTTAGAGAGCGAGCCCCCTAGGATATTGTCATCTGGGGAAACTGAGGCAGGTAGGGGCAGAGCCTGAGTGAGGAAAACCCAGGCCCCGCAGCGCCCAGCCCTTTCCCACCGCACCCGCTGGGCCGCTGGCTGCTCCTTAGGGCCTTAGCTGATGAAGCAGAGTGCGGCACCACTCCTGTCCTCGACTTTGCCCCCTTCCCGCAATAGATGGTAGAGAAGACCGTGGAGCACCTGGCGACAGAGATGAAAGGCCTGCTGGGCCTGCTGGAGGGGCTGGCCTGGAACCTGCCCCCGGGACCCTCGAGCCCCGCCCCCGACCTCCTCGGAGAAGGTGAGCAGTAAAGGTGGCAGAGGACAAGCTCTGGACTGCTGTCATCGGGGGCTGGGCAGGCGAGACGGAGGGGCTGCTCCACCGCACAGGTGTGGGCTGGACGGCAGGGAGGGCCCCAGCGCCCCCGGGGACGGAAGCGGGACGGCATCACCCTCCTCCCCAACCCACACCCGGTCGCTGCCGCCCAGTGTCAGACGAAATTCTGGAAGAGCCGGCGCTACATGCCATCTCAGCACAGCCCAGAGAGGAGAAGCTGCGTCCTTCATTGGCCTTCGCCGGACTAAAGCTCCTCAGCCCCTTTCATTTCCCCCTGAGACGCCACTCCTGTCCCACCCCAAAACCCTCCCAGGGAAGACGGCACCCCACTGATCAGGCAGGGATGGAGGTGCACTTTGCTCTCTCCTTGATCCCCGTGTCCCGAGGGGCTGGGGAAGGGAGGGTAGAAACTGTTGAGCAGCACCGGCCGCACCCCAGCTTGCTCACTGGAGGCCGCCGCTTTCTTTCAGATGGCTTCTGAGCCCCGGAGCTGGAGCCCAGCAGCTGGAGGTGGTGCACCTGCCAGGCAGCACCCTCTGAGAGCCAGCCCTGTCCGCTCGCCTTCCTTCCCCAGCTTCGTGTGAAATAAAAGCTACTCCTTCCGTCTCCTCTGTGTCTGCTGACGGAGTAACCCGTTCAACTACAGCCCCCTCTCCCTCCACTTCCATGCCTGGAGGAGGCCTGCGACCCCCTCCAGGCTCAGACCTGGGGACACCCCCGTTCCCGCCATCTGTGCTTTAGCCCTCTTTATTTACAGGAGCGGATGAGCAGAGGTTGATTCACCGAGGTGGGGGCCCTTCGCGTGGCGTTGCTTCTCAAAATGTGGCCATAGATGAAAAGCAAGGGGACCAGGGTCTCAGGCCCCACCCAGACTTCTTAATCCAAATCTGCATTGCAGTGAGACCCCCAGGGAATGTATGTGTCCATTAAAGTGGTTTGTTGTTTTTTTAAAAAAAATTCCTAGGAAGTGAAATTCAATGTAAAATTCATCATTTTAACCATTTAAAATTGTACAAGGCTGGGGACAGTGGTTTACGCCTATAATCCTAGCACTTTGGGAGGCCAAGGTGGGAGGCTCACTTGAGCCCAGGAGTATGAGGCCACCCTGGGCAATATGGTGAAACCCTATCCCTGCAAAAAATACAAAATATAGCCTGGCATGGTGGCATGTGCCTGTAGTCCCAGCTACTCAGGAGGTTGTTGTGGAAGGATCACCTGAGCCCAGGAGGTCAAGGCTGTGCTTAGCCATGATGGTGCCACTGCACTTCAGCCTGGGTGACAGAGTGATGGCCTGGGTGACCTTGTCTCAAAAAGAAAAAATCATACAAGTGCAGTGGCTTCTAGTATATTCACAAGTTGTCAGTCATCACCACCAGTTCCAGAACATTATTCTTATTCTCACTCTAGAAAGAAACTCTGTACCTATTAAGCAGACACATCCCATTCCCAATCTCCCAACCCCCTGGAAACCACTGATCTCTGTCGCCATGAACTTGCCTATTCTGGACATTTTAAATACAGTACTCCCGCTTTACCTGTGGTTTCACTTTCCATCGTTTCAGTCACCTGCAGTCAACCACAGTCCTAAAATATTAAACCCCAGAAATAAACAACATATGAGTTTTCAATTGTGCATCATTCTAAGTGGCGTGATGAAATCTCTTGCCATCCCCCTTCATCCCACCCCGGACATGAATGCTTCCTTTATCCACCATGGTCCACGCTGCCTACACTTCCTGCCTGTTAGTCACTTAGCAGCCTTCTCAGTTACCAAATCAATGGCCACACGATCACAGCGCTTGTGTTCCAGCAACATTTCTTTTACTTAATCAAGACCCAAAGTGCAAGAGCAGTGTTGCTGGCATATGGTGGTTGGTTTTCATGCAACTTTCCCTTCACAGAGGCTGGCATATTGTTCTAATTGTTCTCTTTTATTCTTAGCTATTGTTGCTAATCTCTTACAGTGTCTATTTTATAAACCTTATCGTAGATATGCATGCATCAGAAAAAAAATAGTATAATAGGATTAGATACTATTGTGGTTTCAGGCATCCACTAGAGGTGTTGAAATGTATCCCCTGAAGGTAAGGGGTGCTACTGTAAATAGAATCAGATGATACCTAGCCTAGCTGTATCTGGCTTCTTTCTCTGATCATGTTTTGTGTGTGTGTGTGTGTGTGTGTGTGTGTGTGTGTGTGTGTGTTTTGAGACGGAGTTTCGCTCTTGTTACCCAGGCTGGAGTGCAATGGCGTGATCTCGGCTCACCACAACCTCCGCCTCCTGCGTTCAGGCAATTCTCCTGCCTCAGCTTCCTGAGTAGCTGGGATTACAGGCACACACCACCATGCCCAGCTAACTTTTTGTATTTTTAGTAGAGACGGGGTTTCATCTTGTTGACCAGGATGGTCTCAATCTCTTGACCTCGTGATTCACCCGGCTCGGCCTCCCAAAAGTGCTGGGATTACAGGCGTGAGCCACCGCGCCCGGCTTGTTTTTGTTTTTAAGACGGGGTTTCACCATGTTGGTAAGGCTGGTCTTGAACTCCCGACCTCAGGTGATCTGCCCGCCTTGGCCTCCAAGGTGCTTGGATTACAGGCGTGAGCCACCGCGCCCGGCCCCTGATCATAATGTCTTCAAGGGCTGTCCGTATTGTAGCATGTATCAGTGCTTCATTCCTTCTTATGGATGACTAATGTTCTCTTGTATGAATATACCACATTTTATTCATTTATTCATCAATTCATGGATATTTGGGTTGTCCGTACTTTTGGCTATTATGAGTAATGTTGCTATGAACATCCGTATACGAGTTTTTGTGTCAATATTTGCTTTTTTATTTGTTTGGGGTCTATATGCAGGAATGAAGTTGCTGAGCCATATGGTAAGTCTGATGTTTAACTTTCTGAAGAACCACCAAGGGCTTGTTTCGCAGCTGTACTGTTCTATATTCCCACCAGCAATATTCACTGTGGGTTTTTCCCCTTTAGCAGGTTGAGACATTTTCCTTCTATTCTCAGTTTGTTAAGTGTTATTTTTCTGCATCAATTGAAATGATCATGTGATTTTTTCCCCTTTCATTTTATTAATTACATGCATTAAATTTTTTTTTTGTGTGTGACAGTCTTGCTCTGTTGCCCAGGCTGAAGTCCAGTGGCAAGATCTCGGATCATTGCAACCTCCATCTTTGGGTTCAAGCAATTCTCCTGTCTCAGCCTCCCGAGTAGCTGGGCTTACAGGCTGCCCACGACCACACCCGGCTAATTTTTGTATTTTTAGTAGAGACGGGGTTTCGCCATGTTGGTCAGGCTGGCCTTGAACTTCAGACCTCAGGTGATCCACCTGCCTCTGCCTCCCAAAGTGCTGGGATTACAGGCTTTGAGCCACTGTGCCAGACCTGATTTTTGCATATTAAATGACCCATACATTCCTAGGATAAACTTCACTTGGTCATGGTGTATAATGCTTTTAATATGCTGCTGGATTTAGTCTGCTAGCATGTTGTTCAGGAGTTTTGCACCTATATTCATAAGACTTATTGGTCTGTAGGGTATTTTTTCTTGTAATGTCTTTGTTTGCCTTTGGTACTAGGCTAATACTGGCCTCATAGAAAGAGTTAGGAAGTGTTTCCTCCCTTGCTTGCTTATTTATTTATTTAGGTAAGAGTTTGAGAAGGATTGGTGTTACTTCCTTAAATGTTTGCTATAATTTACCAGTGAAGGCCCTGGCCTTTTCTTTGTTGGTAGGTTTTTGATCACAGATTTCATCTCTTTACTTTCTATAGATCTATTCAGATTTTTTATTTTTCCTTGAGTCAACTTTGGTAATTTGTGAGTTTCTAGGAATTTGTCTATTTTTATCCAGATTATCTAATATGTTGGTATACAATTGTTTATAGTATTTTTTGTAATCCTTTATTTTTTCTTAGTAAGGTTTTTAGTGATGCATCTGCTTTCATTTCTGATTTTAGTAACCGAGTCTTGAGTCTTGTATCTCATTCATTCACTGTCTCTCTCTGTGTGAGACAGAGTCTGGCTGAAGGTTCGCCAATTTTGTTGATCGTTTCAAAGAACCATTTTGCTTTTGTTCTATTGATTCTATTGCTTTTCTATTCTCCATTTTCTTTATCTGCACTCCAACCTTTATTATTTCTATCCCTCTGGTTGCTTTTGGTTTAGCTTGCTCTTTGTTTTCTAATTCCATAATACAGAAGCCTGGATTGTCTATTTCCCTTTTTTTTTTTTTTTTTCTTTTTTCTTTTTGGCAGACTCTTGCTTTGTTACTCAGGCTGGAGTACGGTGGCATGATCCCAGCTCACTGCAACCTCCACCTCCCTGGCTCAAACAGTCCTCCCACCTCAGCCTCCCAAGTAGCTGGGACAAGAGGGGGGTGCCACCATGCCTGGCTGCTTTGTGTATGTTTTGTAGAGACTGGGTTTCATCATGTTGCCCAGGCTTCTTTTGGTTGTTTTTAAATGTACAATTACTAGAGTCACCCTGTTTTCTTACTCATTCTTTTTGACCAATGTTTTTGTACCTATTAACCATGCTCGCCTCTCCCCAACCTGCCCCTGCCCATTAACCTTCCTAGACTCTGGTGACAATCTTTCTGCTCTCTATGTCCATCAGTTCAATTGTTTTGATTTTTTAGGTCCCACAAATAAGTGAGAACACATGATGTTGTCTTTCTGTGCCTGGCTCATTTCATTTAATTTAATGGCCTCCAGTTCTATCCATGTTGTTGTAAATGACAGACTCTCATCCTTTTTTATGGCTGAATAGTACTCCATTGTAGATAGGTATTGCATTTGCTTCATCCATTCATCTGCTGAGGGACACTTAGGCTGCTTCCAAATCTTGGCTATTGTGTACAGCGCTGCAACAAACGTGGGAGTGCAGGTATTTCTTTGATATTCTCATTTCCTTTCTTTTGGGTCTATACCCAGCAGTGGGATTCCGGGATCATATGCTAGTTCTACTTTTATCCATTGAATTTTATCAAATGCTTTTTCAACATTACTTGAAATGATCACATGGTTTTTGTCGTTCATTCCGTTGATATGATATATCACATTGATTGGTTTACAGATGTTGAACCATCTTTCATCCCAGGAATAAATCCACCTGGTCATAATAAATGATCTTTTTAATGTATTGTTGAATTCAGTTTGCTGGCATTTTGTTGAAGATTTTTGCATGAATATTCACAAGGGCTATTGGCCTATAGTTTCCTTTTCTTGATGAGTCTTTGTCTGGTTTTGTTATCAGGGTAATACTGGCCTTGTAGAATGAGTTTGGAAATACTCCGTCCTCCTCTATTTTCAGAATAGTTTGAGTAGGACTGGTATTAGTTCTTTAAATGTTCGGTAGGGTTCAGCAGTGAAGTCATTGGGTCCTGGGGTTTTCTTTTCTGGGAGGTTTTTTATTATGGCTTCAATCTTGTTACTTGTTATTGGTCTGTTCAGGTTTTGGGCTTCTTCATGGTTCAGTCTTGGTTAGTTGTAGGAGTCCAGGAATTTATTCATTTCTTCTACATTTTCCATTTATTGACATATAGTTGCTCATAGTAGCCACTAAGGATCCTTTGAATTTCTGTGGTATCTGTTGTAA